TTGTTCTGTCTCTGGGGAATTGACCATAATTTCTTGAATGAACAAATGTCGAAACAACCCCCACTCCCCCCAGAATGGTTTGGACTTTTAGAAAAAAAAGTCTTTAGTTTAAGATTCTCATAATACATTTTTTAGCACCAACGTCTATTTTATTCTGATGTATCAGTGATTCTCACTTCAGCTTATGACCACAACATTTGGTCAGTCAGATCCATTCATGGTTACTTTTGACAGATGCTCCTACATCCAATAAGGACCTTGTCAGTTTTTAATCACAGTTCGACTCCTTTATGCTTTTACTTTACCTTCCCTCCTAAAATTCCTGCCTATTTTTCAAAAGCTCTTCCTCTTTTCTTTTAGAAAAAAAACACAAATGTCACACACATCTGTGAAGAAATATATTTTTAGAGAGAAAGAAGTCAGTAAGTCTGTCCTCTTTGGACAAAAACAGATCAATACGACAGAAGAAGACTCATCAGCGGTAGATAACAGTACATCAGATCAATAATACAGCTTTTATGCACATTTAGTTTCCATAAATGCACTTGTATAGCTTAGTTTCAATCATGCAGAAACACTTTACAGACTGTAGCTTTCACAGACATGCAGCTTTCATCATAACGACAAATTAAAAAGACAGGAAGATAAATGCTGAGAGGGCGAAACAGGAAATAAGAGAAGATATTTAAGACTGGTAGCTGACATAATACCAGCCTTTCTTTTTCTCTTGAAAATGAACTTGCAAAGAAGAAGAAAAAAAAAAAACAAGTGAGAGAAAATATAATAAAAAATAGGCCTAAACAAGATATTTATTTCTGTGGTTATCAGACATCAACATGCATTAATAGCACCTTCACATTTGATTAAAAACTGTGAATAAATCCAGGAGAAACTCGATCGCTGTAGAAGCTGTACATAGATCATGTTCAGATGCAAATCTGTGACCACTGTGACTTGATAATAGCTGAATTCACACAGAGGCTGACCTAATTAAAAACAGAATATTTGCTTGTTGGATGCTGTACTTCTTTAAACAGATCAGGAGGAGAAGATTTATTCCACAAGGCTGGACAAATATTTTATGTATTTAATAAATCTAGGCAAATATCTGCAGAGGCAATTTACTGTGGGATTTAAAAAATCCTGAAAACATTCTAGTTTCTCCAAAATGCTGCAGTAACATTAGGGGCGGATTTAAGAAATTTGGGGCCCTCGGTAAAGGCAGGCAGGGGGCCCTCTGAATTAAGAAGACAACAGCAATCCCAGTCGGCCTCAGCAGATGGCCGCTCACACTAAGCCTGATTCTGCTGGAGGTTTCTCCCTGTTAAAAGGGAGTTTTTCCTCTCCACTGTCGCTACAAGCATGCTTAGTGTGAGGGATTGCCTTCGAGTCAATGAGTCGATGCAATCAGCTGGTTTTCCTTAGATAGAAAACATTGAATCAATTTGACTGTATTATCTAGTGAACTGTTAAGTGCCTGACATGTGTTGTGAATTGGCGCTATATAAATAAACTGAATTAAATTCAATTAGGTTTTCATTCTGCCATTTTTTGATAAAATTGATACACAGAAATAAATAATTAAAAGAATACAAAAACCACATATCCACTGTTATGTATGTTGCAATTTCTCGGCTAAAATGAAATAGCATGATGCATAAATCATTGACCAACAGGTAAAGGAAGCTATTCTGGGTTCAAATCAGTTCCAAATGTCTTTGAGACCACTGGAAGTTACCAGATCCCTAAATCCAGATGTTTTCTCCACAGCTGCCCGACTTGGAGCAGGCTGATATGTAGCAGCTGATCAGGGGTCATGTTGTGCAAAGATGAGTCACCTTTAAAACTGTGCTTCTTTTCAACTAACCTACCATTATATCACAAGGATATGATCATGATTCGTTGTTAATAGCTAAGCTCAGCTAAAAACCACAGGATGGGTGGAGGAGGATCAGCCCCCCACAGCCCTGAGGCCTTCTTCACTTTCCTACAGACTCACAGGGATTTAACCTCCCACTACCATTAACAAAGACTGATAATAAGTTTGCAGAACATCTGGATAAAAAGCAGGAGTTTCATTTTATATAAATAAGCAAAAGACTGTAAGACAGAAGGTGCTTTAATTCTTAGAAAATGGCATTCAGATAAACTGTGAACACATTCCTGAGATTTGAGCTGTTTCATTCATTAGCCACCATCACGCACGCAAAGCTGTTTTATCCAAACTCAGAAAGGAATGCTATAGACCGGAGGTAAAAAAAACTAGAAACTTCATATTTAAATATAAGGAATGCTAAACTGGGAATGCAAAAGAAAAAAGGTGCAATTAGTGGGTGCATTCCACGTGATCTGATTGTGTGCAATGGACATGCAAAACTGGTTTGGTTCCACCCCATTAATATAAATAAATTGCTGTGGCTGCTGGCAGTTTGGGATTAAACAAAGATAAAGATCTCTAAACCATGGGGTAGGAGGTAATCATCATTACCCCAAACAATGATGGCTAAATGCTGTTCATAGCGCACTGAACAAGTAAATATTTTGATGTGCTTTAAACTACCTTAAAAAAGCAACAAGATGAAAACAATAAGTTACATTTAACAGATTAATTACCTAAACCAGGAAAAACCCCCCCAAGCCATAGAAATTAAGAGAAGGTGCGACGCTCAGACTTGCACGATGAGTTGGATTTGCCTCAAACAAGTCCTTAAACAACCTCCTGACCAAAAATATTGCAATAATGTAATTATAAGTACAGTATTGGTCATTATGGTTTAATAAAAGCAATTCCCTGTCACGACATGTAAGGAAATCACACATTTTGTATTTGCATATGCTCCTTCCAGTATTATGCACAGTCTGCTAAGCAAGATATAAAAGCAGACACAAAGAAATGTTTGAGCCAACTCTTCTGCTAATTTTACACAAGCAGTATTTATAGCACCCGGTCTGGAGATTATTTTTGCACACGCTACTCAGTTTGCACATGTTTTAAACAAGCAAACCTTTTTAAAATCACACCTTATTTCAAAATGATCCATTTCAGTTGAGAAATCTTTTAGCAGTAGTTATCCTGAGAAAAAATAAGTGAGATTTATTTGGTGCTTAATTCACACAATAGCACTGCTTTGCCTTGCTGACATGAATTAGAGGAAAAACTAAATTAAAGTATAAAAGTGAACGGTGCAGATCTAGGAGGATTTGACTAATAAGCAGCAGGAACAGCATGCAGCTCTGATTTTAGAAAAGTCACACGCTGAAAATACATTCAATTCAAAAGAAATGTTTTTGGAGAGTTCATGCAACACCAGCACTGCATGCAGACTGCACGTGTAACACAAATTCATTTTTCATCACTTAAACATGTTTATATGGAGAAAAATAAATGGAATAAAAAAAAAATAACAAATTGCATTTTCTTTCAAATACTTATAAAATAATTCAGTCTGGTAGGAAGAAAATAAAAAAAAATATTTCTCAGCATCTGAATCAAATATACAAGAGAAACTGTTAATAAATCAGATCTAAAATTACAATAAATTGACACAGTTTAGAGCTAGCTCGGGTTGGTCCTCCTGCGTTTGTTGGGGCTTTGTCCGGGATCCATCTTCAGATCATAATACTGCATCTGTCCAATTAGACGGATAACAATATACTTTAAACCATAACAACACGTTCCACTTGTTTCATGGCAGCTTTACTCACCATTTGAACATCAGACGGGACTCTGGACAGGAAGTCAAGAAGCTCGTTGTTATCGATCCTGTATGGATCGCGAAGCTTTTTGGTGAACTTATTCACACCTGTTGATTAGACATATACTTTTGTAAATCTGTTGTAATGATGTTTGATAAAGCTGTGTTTTAAATCAAGGGAAATTTTAAACAAATTCACTGATTTTGTTTTATTACACTGCCTAAGGCCGAAAAAAATAATAATACAGCCCACAAAAGGCACTGGGGCTTAGTTTAACTTGAAAAACATCAGTTCTAGATTTTTATGTTATTTAAGGTTTCTAAATGTTACATTTTGTTATTTCCATTGATTCTGAAAAAAAGTGGGAAAATACTTGCTTCATAAATGTTTTGTGGCCATCAAAATGCTTCAATGTTAATCTATGGGTCAAACAGCTGAGTAAATGCATTTGGCACAATTTGGCTCAATCTGGCACAGTTGGAGAGATTTGGAGACATTTTCCTTGCCTTACATGCTTCTTTTTCCTATGCTGATTGTGGCACGACTTAACTGTTGCTTAGAAAAGTGTTTCTGTTTGCCTGCATAGATCTACACACTAGCTGCTACCCCTCTATCCTCCCTTCAGTGTGGAGGCAAACCCACTTTCAGCAAATGACCAGCATCTAAAGGGATAGAGTGAAAAAATTAGCCGTTTATTATTGTCAAATGTAACATGGCCAAAACTAGTGTGCCTCTGTGATTTCAAAACAGTTTTATTCTACAAAGAAATACCTTTTATTTTCCAGCATAACTGGAAAGGAGGCTTTTGTAACTGGGTTGATAGTACACTTACAGACACTGTCCATTTGCAATAATGAAAGAAAATGACAAAACAGTCATTACTCACCCCATGCGAGCACAAGGTATCGTAGTGGTATGAGGTAGAGCAGAAATGTGGCCAAACATAAGGCAGCGATCGCCAACGAGCTCAGAAAAGGCACTGTCCAGTTAAAGGTGCTGCAGTACAGGGAGGGGAGAAAGAAAAGGAGCAATAATGAATGTTTGAACGTTGACACTCAGCAGGTTTGATGCATATGGAAAATGATTAGTAGCTATGTTTAACTGTCAAGTTTCAAAAATAAATAATTTCAGACTTTCATGTCAATATCCATTTAATTGAGACTTGAAGGCGGTTTAATGGCCCTGAAATACTTTTTACATGTTTCTGTTAAATCCAGAATAGAATTTAAACCCCTCCTTCTCACATATAAAGCCTTAAATGGTCAAGCTCCATCTGATATCAGAGATCTGATTGTTCCTTATGTTCCTAACAGAGCACTTCGCTCTGAATTTACAGGTTTATACTAGTGGTTCCTAGAATTTCTAAAAGTAGAATGGGAGGCAGATCTTTTAGTTATCATGCTCCTCTCTTGTGGAACCAACTACCAGTTTTAGTCTGTGAGGCAGACACCCTGTCTACTTTTAAGGCTAGGCTTAAAACTTTCCTTTTGATAAAGCTTATAAGTTAGAGTTGCTCAGGTTATCCTGGGCTATCTCTATAGTTATGCTGCTATAGGCTTAGACTGCTGGAGGACATAGGGACCCGTTTTTCATCCTTCTGCTTCATTCTATCTCTATTCTCCCACTCTCCAGAATCTATTAGTTCAATCTCTAATGTTCTTCTCTCTCTCCTTTTTCTCATATTAGCATATTATCTCATATTATCTGGTCTGCTCCTGTTCTGCTCTGACTCCATCCTGGAGAGAAATATCAGCTGTGCTGCTGCCATCAACACCTTTGTTTATAGATGTTCAGCCTTTTTCCCGTGTAGTCCTGTTTCTCTGACTGACTGGCTGGATGTGCTCTCTTCATCCTCTGACATGTAAGCTGGCTCGGAGCTTGTCTGCCTGGCTGTGTGTTTCCTGGACGGGGCCGCCTTTAATAGCTGCTTTTTGTATCTCTGCTTCTGTCTCCTTGAACCCCAGTTGGCCTCAGCAGATGGCCGCTCACACTGAGCCTGGTTCTGCTGGAGGTTTCTTCCTGTTAAAAGGGAGTTTTTCCTCTCCACTGTCGCAACAAGCATGCTTAGTGTGAAGAATTGCCTTTGAGTCAATGAGTCAATGCAATCAACTGGTTTTCCTTAGAGAGAAAACTTTGAATCAATCCAACTGTATTATCTGGTGAACTGTAAAGTGCCTTGAGATGACATGTGTTGTGAATTGACGCTATAGAAGTAAACTGAATTGAACTGAGTTCAAATTGGAGCTTATAAATCACCTCTGACACGGAGCCAAAAAGGATTTAAAGGTATCTTTAGCATATCAGAGAAAGAAAAGCAAAGAGACTTAGAATAGGTGAACCATGAATCTCTTTCAAGCCATCTCTGTGGGTTGTTGATCTCCTCAGCTGTTTGGTTCTAAACGCTTCAGACCTTGCAATCAATTTAAGGGTCACACACATTAAAAACCGAAGAACACCTACTTCTTTAACCTCTCTCCAAACGATGCTACTTCATCCAGGGCACTCTGCACACTGATGAACACCTCCTGGATGGCGTAGAGTTTATCCATGAAGCCTTTGTGCTCTGAGTCCTGATGGTAGAAAGGATTAAATATCACATGTTTGGGTCTTTGAAGCTGATTTTATAAGCCTAGATGAGCCAGTATGGAGGGTTTGAACCTGACTGTTGACTTAGTGGGAATAAAACTGAAATGATATATAGGTGCCTTACAGTAATTCAGAACACTTTAGAAAAGCTTATTCCAGGAATAACATGAAATGGGTATTTATATTAGACGGGTTAGTTATACACAGTGATTTACTGCATGTTTATTTGCATTAATTTAGATGGCGGTGTATTCAAATAAAGGAAAAACCCAAAGTTGTGTTTCTCAGGGAATTAGAATAAAAGAAAAGGCAAATTATAAAAACAGGTACTGTAAACTTCAAATTAATATTTCCAATTACAGAAACAAATATTCAAAGTTTACCAGGGTCATTGATACAAGTATACCAGAAGTTTACTAAAATATATACTTAATTAATTATGCAAAATTAAATTTTGAATTCTGAATTAAATTCAGCTTAATAAAACAAAACTCAACAGAGCTCCAACCACTTACGTTTGCCGTTTATACTTATCTTAAATACTTTGTACTGTTTATATTGTTACAGATTCTAGTTAAGCCCAAATCAAACTTAACTACCAGAAGGTTGTGGAGACTTTATTAAATTAATAGGATCTTTTCAATGGTGTTGGCCAATTATATGAGGGAAAATATTGTGACCAGCTGAGTCTGTTTTATTTTAACATTTGTATCTGACTCAGCTGAAGAATCCCAGACTTTTTTAATCAAAAAAGAACCTTTTGTTTTCATTATGAAATGATTATGGGATATTGTTGTTCACATCATTAATTATGTCATAAATCAGTGGGGCAGTGGGCAGATTCCAGGTTTGATTCCCGGCCTGGCGTCCTTCTGCATGGAGTTTGCATGCTCTCCCTGTGCAGGTGTGGGTTCTCTCCAGGTACTCCGGCTTCCTCCCACAGTCCAAAAACATGACTGTTAGGTTAATTGGATTCTCTAAATTCTCCTGTGTGAGTTTCTGTGAACGGTTGTTTGTCCTGTTTGTCTCTGTGTTGCCCTGCGATGGACTGGGGACCTGTCCAGGGTGGACCCCGCCTTGCTTGGGGTAAAGCGTGATGGATGGAAAAATGGATGGATGAATCATTTAGTAAACAAAAAGGTACATTTCAGTGTGCTTCAATACTTTTATAAACTCTATGCAGATTTGAAAGTTTCTTTTTAAGTAAATTAGGTGGAAGACTACATGAAGTGTATGTGAAAGTGTACTTTTTATATATCGAAAACAGACCGTTTATGAAGAGTGAAATAAAAGTATACCTGGAATGCTTTTTTTTTTAAAAGAAAAAAAAAGAAAAAATAAATGTCCCAGTTTAGTCCCAAGAGGTATGTTTTTGGTAAACTTCTAGTATTGTTACATCAGTAAATTGTACCTCAGTTATTTGTGCTGATATACTTTTGTCAATATTTAACATTTATATTTTAATCATGTTTTACAGAACAGCTGCAAGTAGATTTGCTGCTTTTGAAGGTATAGCGGACGATTTTTTATTTACAGGTGGATCATGTAAATAAGTGGTCCTCCTTATTGTCAATGATTCTGGTGATATGTTTAGGTAAGGCTGTCCTACGTTAGCTATCTTTTTCTGCACGTGCGCACTTTCAGGCGTATATCTGTGCTGAGCTACGGTTTCAGACAGCCATTGAAGCTCACCTTTCTCACCACAGTTCTTTGAAAATGGCCAAGGGTCGTTAGAGGAAAGGTGTATGTGAAGTGTATGAGAAGAAAAGAAAGGCCTCAGAAGAGGCAGATATATCCCAGAATGCTTTGCACTGAGAGCTCTCCTTGCAAAGCAAATTACAAATTTGCTACTACAAATTAGTCAATATGCTGCTGTCAGTCTGGGTTGCTGCTGCTGCTACAGCAGGCAAACCTGTGGCAAGCCGAGCGATGGGAAAGAAGGAGAAGATGATGAGAAAAAGAGAGCAGAGAAAGTGAGGACTGCTGCAAGAACTGTGGTGAACTGGTGAAAGAAAAGTGAAATGGTGCTCAAAGATGACCCTGCACATTTAGAGGATGTTTGGCTCAACCTGCTGCTGTGAAGCAGGATTCTCCACCATGAACAGAATCAAAAAAAATATGGATCCAGGCTCAAAATGAGCACCTTGATATGTGCTTTAGAATGGCTTAGTCTCCATTCAAACCCAGGTTTAAAGCCTTGCAGGGCAGAATAAAGCCCACTGCGAACATTAAGACAGAAAAAAAGAAAGAAGAAAAAAAACAACTGTTTTTTAAATTAAAAAAAAAAGTGAGTCAGGAAATGTTCTATATACCAAACTGAAAGATTGTTGTTCTCTAATTCAAAAACAATTTCGATTTTAAAATGGAAGAACATTCTATTTTTTATCTAAACATTGTATAACATGTGTAACATGGATGCATAAACACCTGCATTTTATTTCAGTGTTAAATGCTGTGTAAAGTAATGGATTATAATTAAGAATGTCTACGGACCGTTACTTTTCTTTATTAGGACCCCGCTGATTTTTAATTGGTTACCCCTGCTTTATACACTGCATTCAGCACATATATAGCTCAGTGTTGTTCTTGGGGCTGCTGTGATTGCAATGTAATCAACTAGCTACACTACATGAGGTCCTGAGCCCTTAGATACCAACCCTTTCTTCTTTGTCTTCTTCTTCATCCTCCCAATCAAACATGGTCTCCATGGACTGAAGAACAGAGACAAAGAGCTTCAAAATAAGAACGATCTTGTAAAACAGATATCTAAGCGCAGAAGCGCATAATTTCTCACCGCCTCAGACATTTCTCTGCTTGATGAGAAGAAGTAGTTCCAGACCAGCAGCAGAACGAGGCCGAGGGGCAGCATGTAGAGCTCAAAGTTCCACACCACCACCACAAACAGCTGCGCAGAAGAAAACAGTCATAAAGGGGAAAGCAGCAGCCGGTTTGTGTTTAAAGGTGCATGTTTGCTCTTCATACAATAAATGCAATGATGCTCCTTTGTGACGACTCCCACTCAAAGCAGGTGTTGATGTAGGTACCGTAGCTGAGGAGGACCATGATGCATCGCTTCACTCGGTTAAAGTTCTGCTGCAGCAACTTAAACACACAAAGGTACACAATGCTTAATGCAGACATGACACAACGGCCTGAGCAGAAGAAGTCATAAGGAATGTGTGCTTTTAACTGGTTCTGTGTCATAAACCATAAAAATAACTTGGGATATTGCTTTATGTTAAGCATAACTATTGATTTAGGAGGATTAAGGTTTGCCTGCTCAAGAAGACTTTCCAAAAAAAGTAAAAAAAAAAAAAAAAACAATCCAATGGACTTTGTTTAAAGACGTTTCTCTTCCAATCCAGGAAGCTTTTTCAATTTAAAATAGGTGGTTTGAGAGGGGCGTGAAGGAAAGAAAAACCAACATTAAAGAGAGAGTGGGTTGGACTCAGATTCCAGCTTTCAAAAACTTACAATGCAGCAATTGAGTTGATCTCTTGCTGCTATCACCACAACCCCATCCCTTTACAGCAGAGCAGAATACCTCGCCTATTCAGCCAGGCCAACAATTCCCTTTAAAGACCCCTTTCAGAGACATAGACAGGTACGGGGCATTGCAGGCGAACAAAGAACCCAAACGACCCCCATTCCAAAAGGGTGAACTCGTTCGTCTGTTTCAATTTGCATGTTTTCTAAACAAAAACAAGGCTTTGTTGGGCTACCGTATATAACTTGAACTCAACGCTATTCCTGACATTTTGAATTGAAAAAGCTTGCTGGATGAGAAGCAGAACGTGAGATAAAGGGTACCTTATCAAGGAAAAGCTTCGTCAGATCAACCAAATAGTTGGTTTTCAATACATCTTTACAAGCTGTTCACACAGAAATAAGGTTCTAACAAAAACACTGCAGTTTATGGACATTTTATTTATAGGGTATCTAGCTGTTTGCATTCATTTGGTTTGTTTTTCTTGATGTTCTGACATGAGGCTCTGGGGAGGATCCATTAGAACTAATGCTACGCTCTGACCGCAAGCAACAGAAGTAGCAGAAGTGCACGGTAATCAAGTGGGTCTGATGCGTGTTGGGCTGAGTTACCCTATCCTTTCTTTGCCGTTTCTCAATGTATGTACTTGTGCGTTCTTAATGTGGTCATGAAATGTCATCAGGCCCAGCACTTTTTAAATTCACAAGAACACAAGACAGAGGGTGTGTTCGATTTCAGAGGCTGTGTCCTCCTAAGGAGGCGGTCTAAAAGGACTGGGTCCTTCGAGGTCGCGGAAAATAAGGAGCTGGAGGAGTCAGGTCCAGCCTTCTATCTCCTCCTGTAGGTTCTGTCACCTAGCAACCGTAACAGTTGATACACAAAACAGGATGCTGAACTTCTCACTACTGTTCTGGGTGCTAATAATATTTTTGGAGAAGCTTCAGCAGCACTACTGTTGCTGCATATATTATATTTATAGTCCCCACAATGCACAGATATTAAAAACTTTCAATAAACCAAACATTACCTGCCACATGAATCAATAACATTTAAACAACTATTTTCATTAATTTCAAATGGAACTATTTACATACTTGTATTATATTAAACTGAACTTACAATATTCAATGTTCTGTGCCAATTACATGTTTCCTCTGAGTGCGGAGCAGCCGGCTTGCTTGGACTCGCATTGATTAACGGGATACAAAAGGCTACATAGGATACACCAAACCCCTCCGGGCAAATAAAAAAAGGCTGCATTTGTTAGCCACATAACGAGGAGCCCAATCCGAACAGGCCTTGGCGCTGCGCTATGACGCAATTGGCCGTCGAATGTTAGACTCAGACAAACTTAGACTGTATACAAAACGACATTTTGATACATACAACTTTTAGACAGTGAATGAGCAGTGAAATGAACATTTCCATTTATAAAGTGCAGCAGTGATCAAAATGTAAACAGTGTTGGAGAGACATGGTGCAAAAGGCATTGAAGTGTAAGGTTCAGAACAGTGCAAAAATAGATAAATATACACTCACCGGGCCACTTTATTAGGTACACCTGTCCAACTGCTCGTTAACACTTAATTTCTAAGCAGCCAATCACATGGCGGCAAATCAGTGCATTTAGGCATGTAGACATGGTCAAGACAATCTCCTGCAGTTCAAACCGAGCATCAGTATGGGGAAGAAAGGTGAT